CAACTCGGTCAATATCAAATATTGGCAATGTTTATAATAATCTAGTCAGGCCTTAATGGTGTCGTCATGTTGGCAGATACATCCAATTTCAGATTATACGATGCATTCGGTACTTTGGACGATATGATGGCAAAGTTATGAGTCTCTATGCGTTGAAGAGAATCGCGCAGTGTTATGATCTGACTAGTGACACGACTTTCCGCAGCGTCAGCCGAGCCGGCAGTCAGTAGGATTCAGCAAATTCCGTGGAGCTAGTGCATTTCAACGTCAGTTCTGTGAAACGGTTCGTGCTGTCAAATTGGGGCATTTTTTGAAGATATGTCAACAACTCAGGTGACGCCGATCTCCAGTCGATATCAACATTATGCGGTGAGTAGTGTAGAGGCAAGAGTGGAAAACGTAAGGGGGAGGGGGAGAGGACAATCATGAACGGTAGAGAGGTATTGATTTCAATTGATGGTAAGTGGGCATGTGTGAGGAGGAAGGGCGAAAGAAAGTTTAAATGAATCTGTTCATTTGAGCAAACCTGACTGTATTTCTATTTCAATTGAAGATGAACGCATGACGACGTTGCGAGAACCGAATTCGAATATCTATCCGCAAGCTTTAGCGGCGGGAGCTCCAGATATCCTTTTTATATAAACTGTTCCTTGACTCTTCTTTGAAATCATACGTAGTGTACAAATTCCCCTATCCGTAATGCAATAAATAATATCTGGAACCGGAACCAAGTCACTTATAAAAAAATTTTTCTTTTCGTAATGATTATGAAAAAAGGAAATCAAGAATAACCTATACAAGACATAATAAAAATATCGAACGCTCTTCACAAGTGCAAACGACAAAACTGTTTCCGCGCCGTTTATTATTACATGTGTGGAATGTAACATGATGCTACTATCCGTATATTACGGTTGGTAAATCTTGACCTTGCTAGCCCGATCTCAGCTTAATGTAAATCTATGAAATATAAGAACCCTTCGATATAAGAAATATGCGTATTAAAAGGATTGCTGGTTCCAATTTGACATCTGAAAAAATAAAAAGGCCGATTTCGTGTATCGAGAACCGATTGTAATAAGTTGTTACTTCATGCTATGGATAAGAGCTACGCACGACAATAGAGAAGGTGGAGTCCTTAATTCACCGTCCATGTATTTAACGCTAATTACATTTTCATCGCTGTCTCCTGATGCATGTTCATGCACGTACTTTCCCCATTTTGTAATTTCTTCGCTTTTCATTCGTTTTGTCAGCACTTCATTTCCTAAACTGATTTCCGCACTAACCTTCAACTACCCAAATTCCGTAATTTTATTGTAAATCTTGTCCGGCCGTTTTTATATCATATTTATATGGTATAGGTATGCTACGGTACGGTACGGTACCGAAGGTACCGTAGCGTACCGTATGCATAATAGCTGCACAGCCATGCCCTACCCCCACCACCCACCCTAAGGAAACTGGCGCTTTTTATAATCTTTGTCTTTCATTTATTCATCGTCTTTTTTTTTTTTGGAACGAGAAAAAAAGAGAAAAAAAGAAAATGGCAAATAAATTTGATATTTTGTTATTTGAAACTATGGTCTAAACTATATCTTCTGACTGATTAAAAATAACTATCATTATTACATTCTCTTTTTTTCGTAGAAAAAATATATAATATATTATAAAATAATAAATAATAAAAAAAAAGTTTAATGGCAATTTTCAACCCGCAAAAAAAAGGTATTCCCAATCATCTAAATTACGTTGATCGCCCATGCTTTACATAATTGTTTCCATATATTTACGCTGTCAACGGCATGTTTTGCATCTATTGTAATAATAATTATGTGCGATCATTATTATAATAAATGCAAAATATGCCGTTGACAGCGTAAATGATTGCATATAATTTATTCCCATCATTTCCACTGCCAAGGTATTCCCCAACCCATTATTTCGTCTAGATTTCATCTAGATTACGATGATCATCATGCAATCAATGGTTTTTAATCTTATTACCCACAAAAAGGTATTCGCAGCCCACTATTTCATCTAGATTTCATCTAGATCATGATGATCGCCATGCATCACATGATTGTTCCTATATCAGATTACTTCACTTCCCCAAACAATCGTTTGTGTGAAAAAAATTCTAGACTGTTTTATGTCATACTCACCTCGTACAGACTACCCTTTTTTATACATGTAGGATTAACCTTTGTGTTGCCACTCGAATAAAAATTTTCGTTTATCAAGTAGACGGTTTCCTACCATTCTCCTCATCTTCTCTAACGCTTATCAATAGACACTTCCTTGCGAAATACTTTCCTCCCATAGCCTTTTGATCTTTTTTCTCCACGCAAAAAAGAAAAAAAAATAAAAATAAAAATAAAATGTCTCAACAAATTCTCAATATATACACAGTTGATTCTCTTCAACCTAATGAATCTGTTTTCAATAGTACTGATACTTCCTGGCATCCCGACAATAATTCCTTCGCTCTTCCTATGTCGCCTATTAACCCGGACATAACAAACGTTCAAATACAACCGTACTGGCGTCCCTCCGATGCTTTACGCAAGACTTTACGCAAACTCTACGAAGAAGATTATGCTCAATTTCCCTACGTTCCCTGTTCCTATTGTTCACGATTACTATACCCATACTCTGTAAAATGGGTAACTAAAAATGTCAATTTTACCTATCCTCTTCAATCATCGTTTCCACAATTAAGTGTCATTACAAATCCACGTGACGAGTCAAAAATTGCCGTTTGCGATGGATGTAGATCCAATCATAATAATCGAATATGTCATGCGCTCGCTGAAATACCACAGTGCATTCACGATGTTCCATATGCAAAACGAAAATATCTCTCTCCCGTCTATCTACACACCAGTCTAGGTCGTTCTGCTGGTGCAAACCCCTATGTTGAATATCGCTCACTTACAGGGCATATGGGTTATTCTAGAAACAGAAGAACGCTGACTCTTTATTCAGGCATTATTGGTGCGTTCTTGAATGACGTAGACCTGTCCCACCCTGATAATCGTTGGTATCATCCATCCTTGCGTTATGCATGTGATTGGCTCCAACAGAATAATCCCTATCTGATGGCCTATCATTCGCTGGCCTCACGTTTAATTATATCAAACACTCATTTATCTCCTACCGTTTGGCCACAAGCCACACATATTTCAAATGATCATTCTACACATACTACACATTCTACGAATTTTTCAGACATAGTTATGCCTTCGTATGTATTTCCTGACGAAATACATAATGAAGATGCTCATTACTCACGTTTAGCCATAGGCTTTCTACAAAGTTCTGATGAACGTCAAATACCACTCCGTTTCACAGACCCCGAATTGGAAGCGATATTATTTCCCGATCTATTTCCAGATGGACATGGATATTATGGGGAAATATCCAATCGTTTAAATACACATAACAATGCCGCATTGACATACGGCAAATATATAAAAATGCGATTATTAGGCTATGACCCTCGCTTCAGACTTCATCCTGTGTGGATGATGTGGTCGTATATGCAGCTAGAAAAGCTTAGAAATTTTCAAAATAATGCTCGCATATTTCGCCAACGTCATACTGATTCCACGCATAGTCACCCATCTGCCATACAATGGTTACGACAAAGTCACTATACCCATGATATGATAGTTGATGAGGATAAATCTATGCCATTGCCTACTTTTATCCGCACAGGTGACTCTTATTTCGCAGAAAAAGAACATCATCTTAATTCCATGGTTAAGGCTAAAGGTTTACCAACACTTTTCGTTACTTTATCAATGGCTGAAACTAAATGGACACATCTAACGGAAATACTTCGTAACACTGATAATGGTGATACTAATCCTACCAATCGTCCTTTTCATGTGTGTATGTATTTTATGCAACGTTTCCGTTCATTAAAAAAAAGATTATGGAATGACAATCGCCTTAATGGATGGAAACGTATCAGCGATTTTTTTGAACGAGTCGAATTTCAAAATCGTGGTGCAGCCCATTTACATATTGTGCTTTGGACAGAAGCTACAATTAATGAAATGATCTCTTCTAATGAAATTCGCAGTACCATGCCTGATCCTGAAAACGAACCTGAGCTATATGCAAAAGTGCGTATGCATCAAATACATACATGCCGACCACATTTATGTGGAGGTCCGCCGCCTGCTGGCGAACAATGCAAACGTAATTTTCCTAGACCTTTATCTAACTTAACCTATAATGACCCAACCTCCCTACGTTACGTCTATAAGGCTATTACAGAAGAAGATAGATGGGTTGTGCCATTCCATGCGCCTACATTATTGACTTGGGATGCTCATTGCAATTTCCAATATGTCACTAGTAAAGGCTTTGCACGATATATGACAAAATACATTTCCAAAGCCGAACCATCCCATATTTTTAATATTAACGAAAACAATCGGTTTTACCAGCATGTACTTGGGAGACGACTAGGCGCTATGGAAGTTATTTATTTGATTACTGGTGAAACTATTTGCAATTCTTCTGCAACGGTAAATTTTTTACCTACTGAACCACCCTCACTTCGTTCAAAAACTATATTGCCAGTTTCACAATTATTGTATAATCCTGACAACCCTTACTATCCTGATGCTATTGAGAAATATTTCCGCAGACCTTATGGCGATGACTTTGAACATTTGAAATATGAAGAATATTATCAATTATATGATATACGTACTACAACCACTGCTAACGTTCAAGCTGTAAGAGATCTCGACAATCGAGTAATAATTAAGAGGAAGAAGCCCACATTAACACGCACCCGCTTCCTTAAATTAAATGATGGTGACTCATTCTTTTACTACCGTTTGCTGCAGACAAAATCTTGGAGATCAGAGGAGGAGCTGTCGGGTCAATATGATAACTATAGAGAACATTATCTTTCTATGTTTCCGCATGAAGCACTATCAATGCGTGAACAAGCTCGTTCGCGTATAACTCAAACAACAATGCACTTTGAACATCAGTTTGCAGCCATTATCGATTCACATCTACAATCTGTGCAACAATCAATGCAGCGTCTTCCAAATGTGAACATAATCAGGCTTCAATTATCAGCTTTGAAAAAACTACCACACATTACACCCCACACGTCTATAGCTGATCTACCCAACGATCAATATAAAGCCATTACTGTATTAACAAATATGATGGGTTCTCACCGCAATCAATGGCCATACTTTTTTTTAACTGGATCAGCTGGCACGGGAAAATCATTTATTATACATCTATTCCGCAATCATCTTCACTCTAGGAGGATTAAATATCTCGTGTTGGCTCCAACTGGTGTTGCAGCCCAGAATGTGGATGGACAAACTATCCATTCCGCATTAAAAATATCATCTTCCAATACGAATTACCAATCTTCCTACAAAACACTTTTATTTACCGATGTTTCTCTACAAAATAAAATGAGAAATATTAAAACACTTATCATAGATGAAGTATCCATGGTTTCTGCCAGCTTATTTACTTTTATTTCTGACATTTTTGCTAAACTACACAACAACCATAAACCATTTGGTGGTATCAACGTACTTGTCGTAGGCGATTTGTGCCAACTACCTCCAGTACACGGAACGAGTGTTTTCAATTCACCCGCTTGGCAATTATTCTATCCGCTTTTTTTACGGAGATCTCACCGCCAAATTGGAGACAATCAATTTTTCAACCTATTGGAGGAAGTACGCTTAGGCAGAATATCTGATAATTCCTGGCATATGCTACAGGCAAAAAATTTACAACACGTCAACACGGAATCAGACATTAATTCCTTCAATACGACCTTTATTGTTGGTTATAAAGAATCTGCAGAACGGATTAATATATCGTTTTGCAATTTATTAGAAATTACATGCGAAAATGACATATTAATAAGTACTGCTGTAGACAAGGTGAACGACGAAGAATGGGATAACGAATATTCACAACGTATGTTCAAGCAACACACCAACTTTCCCGTCCGTGTTCGGCTCCAACCTGGTGCACGTGTAATGTACCTAACCAATGATATGATCGCTAACGGCATATGTAACGGAAGTATAGGCATCGTTACAAAACTTGAACATGAAAGTCAAGGTGTCCATATTTCTTTTCTCGGCACTAGACGTTTAATCCATGCGGTAATCTTCCCAAAAACGTCCTACTTTACCATAAACGGTATGAATGCCTCTCGCAAACAATACCCTTTACAAAATTGCTTTGCGTTAACCGTACATAAATCCCAAGGGTTAACATTACCGCGTATATCTTTATTTTTGGATAAACAATTTTTCGCTGCTGGTCAAGCATATACTGCCCTGAGTCGTGCACCCTCTTGGAATAACGTACAAATTCCTTGCTTGGATAAGGAAGCTTTTTCTGTTGACATCGACGTCCTCCGCGAGTACGAACGTTTGGAAAGAAAAGCTACATCCCATCCACTTTTCTCACTTTAATTGTCTCTGGCAACATCCATGGTCTTCTATTCTCTTTATTCTTTATTTTTCTACCCGTTTATTTTTATCCTCCACACTAACACCTTAATCAGTACTGAATGTAATTTTTAAAATTTATCTTTCCTTATTGCAATTTTTACTTCTATAACATTATATAATAAAGTTGTATAATCCTAATAATAAATTGAAATATACTCTGTGAAACTATATTCTTTAACAAAACATGATATAATATGAAAAGTTATTTACTGTACCTCTCATAACGATAACGTATTTGATATTCTGCGATTTGTCAAGTACATACTCTCCCCATCCTTATCGAATCATCATAACGTGATCACAAATTCACCTTATTCGGCATTGCTTCCCGCCCGTAATTCGCAAATACCCTGGCTCATACTCATACGCGCTTGATTTACTCCACTCCCAATAACAATAATATATTTGTCACTCCACCCGTTACTTTATTTAGTTACACACAAATCGTCATTGATGTTTGTGTAGATAAACAGATGATCATATCTACTTATACATCAACCCTAAGAGATATCGTTCTCTCATACTCAATTATACTCAATTGCGATCTGCCTTCAAACACATAATTAGCAATCCTCTACTTATGTTCTGAATCATAGCAAATTCAAAAATCGGACCGGCCCAGATCAGAAACAACACATCTTACTCTGCTATTATCACATAAACATGTTGATTGAACATCGTTTATTGATTATATAATATTACTCATTACAAACACAGGCCCAGAACATTTACATTCCGATGTTTGTGTTACCCTTCCATATATCATTGTCGTTCTTCATTCTTTTTTTTTTATTTATTTAATCACGATCAGTCTGGCCTTTTTTCTCCTTCAGACACATGTTTATACCCATTTACATTGCATTACATACTTGTGCCACACTTAGTATTCGTTCTAATCAAAAAAGGGAATCTGGCTTTCATCTTTAAATAATAGATGAGAAGCCAGAACGTTTTACGTCACTAACAGGCCAGAACGTTTACATCACTGACTCCCATGTTTACACCCCCACCGCACATTCTAGACAATTACTATTGTCTTAATCAAAAAAATTTTGTAATCTTCTCTGTCCTTTGTGAAATCCAGCCAAGGCCATGCTTGTGAGGGTATTCCTCACCAACTTTCGACAGTATACTATGCAGCTATCCTACGAACGCACATAGCAGTCCGTATAGTCTAATCGAAATATATGTCAAAGATACCCACCCACACGCCATATCGCTGCTTCAACACAGAATAATCTTGGTTACTGCCATCAAAGATGGAACATAGAAAAGGACATTATGAGAGCGGTTAAATTATACTGAGCAAGAGCATGCAACAGTATCGCAATTCCATATTTTAAAAATAACCCTCAGCCCACTGTATATCAATATTTTCCCGAAATTCCGCTGTTATATTCAACATCTATATAAAAGAAACACATTTACGACATCCTTCTGCATATCTCCTATAATCTCACAATGTTGGCTCACTTAAATTCTACTGCCGTACATGTCCTGCAAGTCCAAGAAGAAAACAGAGCAGAACATACACTGTTCAAAGCTAAAGGCGTCTTTCTCAATTTCGCCGCTGAACCAATACAAATTCGATTCGATGTATACGTGCCGAAAGACAAACCAGACTGGCGAGCAACAATGGCATTCGCATCAGACGACATAATCGAACTCGCTGGCACAATAACATCACTACATGATAACATACTGACTGTAAGTAATTAACATTTAAAACTTTTTGTTTTCTAATATTAATTAATCTATACTCTGTCCACTTACATACTACTCAAATTTCCCAGATAAACCCCTTCAAGTGCCATGTTGCTGCATATAATCCATCCAACATACCACATGCACGTACCTGGATCCGTACAATCGCCACGATAAAAACTGCTGCTCAAATACGAAACAATATCACCACCTTCACCTCTCGCACCTCGCAATATGTAAGCGGCAGTGGTTCAAGCTTAAATGTAGCAGAGTTTGATATAATAGCATACCACGAATCCTCCAAGAAAAATCTACATGAAAGAACAAAAAAGGGGAAGGTAGGATCTCGGGTATTGCTAGTAGGAGAATTGGACATACACAATAACAAACTTTATATCCAACTCCACAATTTCGAATTCATCTCCACCCACACCTCCTCTATGTCTTCCTCAATCCACGAACCAATCAATCATACCACACCATCTACCAATAACTCTGCCTCGCAGAAAAGATCTCAATTATACGAATTCATTGACCATACTCCATCAACCCAACAAATCAATACGCCATCGAAGCGTCCAAAAACTACGACTACAGCCAAATCAGTAGATTCCATTTCTACTCCAGATAATTCGGGTGAAGAGCAAGCAGATTCAAAAGACAAATCAATGCCAACAGCTCCGAAAAGAGCACTACGATCCAATGACAAACCCAAGCTTCCCAACCTAGCGTCAGACATCCTAAACTTACCATCATACAAGGAACCGTAATTGTACTTTCTTACGCTTATTTTTAATATCAGCACACCCCCTCTCCACAATTTTATCTTTGGCAACACCTATCTTTGCAATTCATTAAGGAATGAGTTATAGTATTTTCTCCGAGTTCGGTACTAAGCTTTGTATTTCTCTTTTATTAACACTTGTACTACTCTCGATTGAAGAATAGCTAGAGTAAATTGTCATCAGATCGAATTCGTCTGTCCGTATAGTCTTACTTACTATATTATAATAGTAAAAAACTACTATCCATTCATGCACTCAACTACGTACAATTAAAAAATCTCATAAATAAACCATAATTCTAACTATTACACCTAACTCGACTACATACGAATATTCTTCAATACTGATCGTTACACCATACAAACGCAAAAACCTATCACATTACTTACTCCAATATGTTCCATATAAATAATCTCGCCTATTACTATAAAAATAACAAACACAAACGACTGCCACCCTCACATATTTCCTTTTTAGAAATTAAAATCAGTTACAAACTCCTAAGTAATAAATTAGAAAGCAGGGGGGGGGGGCGAAGCCCCCCTCAAAAGAAAACTCGTACCTAGTTGAACTGTATAAAACGAGTTACCGGCATACATTCTCGAGGCAAAAAGTGCCCCACGCTAAATGTAGCGATAATTCTTTAGAGACAGATGTCTTTCTCGTATCGTATATTCCTATCATGCAATCTATCTTTTCACAATGTCATTTTGTTTGCTGTATTACAACAAACAGTAATTTATTTTGCGACACCGGAAAGTTGGAATCACTGTCTAACGATTGGTTGTATCACATTACGCAAAGATAAACATAAACAAGCGAATTTCATCGCCATGGAATTTTGCATTGAACTTCTCCAGAAACTAAACATTGTTATTAATATTGAGAATAAAGCTATTGTATTAATATGGATTACGAGTACTTGTCAGGAAACAGCTGCGTAAGTTTTGGCATTCAATAAGATTGATTTTTTTGCACTTGAAATAAATCAAACAACGCTTACAACGCCCACAATAAAATACAACACACTTTAATATCAACATTACTAGGATATTGGACAGCAATCATCTTCAGGTACCAAAAACAAAGGGAAGGGAAAGCAGCTTGATAACGCAGAGACTGAAGATGTATTTGATATTGAGCAAGACCTCATTGTCTTTGAAAGTGACAGTGATAATGAAAATGATCATGATGACTATGGTACAACATATCTGAACAAGGTTGAATTAGATGAGCAACTATCTACAACTTTGGAATCAATTGTCAGCAGTAATAACAAGGATAGAATCAATTATTTTATTAAATTATCCAATCTGTTACTATTGTTTGGTAATAGGTTAGAGGATGATCAATTGAGAAATGTTTTAAAAACAGTTGGAATTTATGTCACATATCATGACCATAAGAAGACCACTGATATTGAGTTGGAATTGCATCTTAGAGCATATACAGTCGCTTTAGAAACATATGGCAAGCGTCTTGTTAAAATGGAGAATGAGTTACTTGAAACTTTGCATAAACACCTTGCAAGATTGTATGAATTTCATCAGTGTTACATCAAAGTCATAGGTAAAGGCTTACAAGGTGCAAAGGTTTTATCTGCTACATTGGATGAAACTGTTAAAGTTCAAAATCATAACAATGAATTTTTGTTTATGCATCTTTATAATACTCTTCATGTGATGGATGATGATAAGACTGTCTGGCTTGTAATTATAAACCAACTAAAGGCTTTTTTTGCTACATTGGTTGAGGCTTTACCTGATATGACTGGTGTTATGACAACTATGGAAACCCCAATTGATAACAAATTTACTGCTGAAATATATAATAATATTCAGGGAGTTTTACAATCCAAGTTTTCTGTGGGACATTGGTTCAAGGAATGGGGGTATTTATACACAATTTACCAAGCATTTGTTGAATGGTCAGCTGCTCCAATTAATAGAAATTTGGTTGCTAAAGGGGAATTAATGATTATTAAGGATCTATGGAGATTTGGAGATCAAGAGTGGAAAAAAGCAGTTTCTATTTCAGCAAAGTCAGATGGATATAAGTCTAATATAAATATTAAATCAAAAACTATATCAGAATCAGTTCCATACTCATTATTGTTTGGTGTATTGGATATTGCTCAAAGGTTGATAACATCTACAAAAAATACCAACACCTTGGCTCATTGTTATTACCTTGCAAAACTATCTCTGGACATTGTGAAGATAGAATTCATTCAATTTAAAGCAATGGAAGTTCTAGTGATACTGCATAAAAAGGATCCAATTACATTTTCTGTTGTGCAAGTTGATCTGGATCAACATATTGAAAAATTCTCAGCCTCAGACCAAGATACAAAAAGGCTTCAAGACATAAGAAGATACACTAGTGAAAAACATACTCATATTAATCAAGCAAGTGGCAGAACCAATATTGAAATGTTGACCATAAGAAAGAATGCAAGTAAATTTGACAAGCCATCTGAAGAGCTCCTTAATTCAAATCCTAATGATTTATTAATTTTGGACATGGTGGCTGAGCATCTTACATGTCAATTTACACAAGAAGTTACAGATGATTTTAGAATACTTCCATGTACACATAAGATCAGCTATTTGGCATTAGAAACATTCATGAAAATGAATTGTCTTGAATTGAAATGCTTCTATTGTAGAAGAAAATTTCAATTGCAAGAGACTGAGATAATGCCAAGTTCACCAATTTACAAAGCATTGTATGAAAAATTTGTTAAGGCTGGACACATTACACCAAATACAAAAGGCAAGACAAAAGATTTTACGGCTATTGTGGCAAGTCAGGATGACAGTGATGATGTCGAGGAGACTTCTATTATGAAATCAAAGTTTTTATATTTACTTCAAATGAAGCCAAAGAAGAATATCCTACAGTTAATGAAGAGACCAAAAAGTCTACATCCTACATACAAGCAAGGCAAGAAAGCTTTTGATGAAAAAAGATATAATGATGCAATATTATGGCTTGAAAGGGCACTTATTCATTATCCCAACAGTGTAACTATCCAAATTGACCTTGCTGTTGCATACATGGAAGTGTTAAACTATCAAAAATGTTATGATCACATAACAAAGGCCATAAAAAATAATCCTAACAATGCCAGAGCATGGGCTTGGCGTGGAAAATATTATATGCAACAATCAGTGTACAAACAAGCTCTTAAAGACCTTAAACAATCATTGAAGATTGATGCAAATGATGCACTTGCATTAGAAGTCAGGGGTAACATCTATTACATTCTTACCTGGTATGAGTTAGCCTTAGCTGATTTCAATCAACTTAAATTATTAGAGATTGAACTAAATGATATAAACACACTGATTGTGAGAGGGGCTGTCTATTTTTTTCTGTGTCAATATGCAGATGCATTAGAAGACCTCAATAAAGCACTACAAATTAAACCAACTAATACAATAGCACAACATCTAAGAGGACATGTTTACCTCATGCTTGAGCAACATGATAATGCATTGAATGATCTTGATGACTCACTGGGGCTGGATCCAAGCAATATGTTTACCTTAATGGAACAAGAAATTATCAGACTTGATATTAGTCAATATGGTAATGCATTGGAGAACTTGGATAAAATTTTAAATGCTGAACCAGACCACACATTTGCATTGAGAGTAAGAGGAAAGATCTATTATGCACTCAAACAGTATGATAATGCATTAAATGATTTCAACAAATCGTTAGAAATTCAGTCACAGAAAAATGTAGATACACTAAATGTAAGAGCAGCTGCCTATCTTGACCTTTGTCAGTATAACAAAGCACTAGATGATATTAGCATGTCATTCAATATCAAACCAAATGAAACTCTCTACAAACAGTTATCATCTTTGTTTGATCAATTAGAAACACAAAATTATCAAAATCAATGTTTGTTAGATTTTTTACATCATAAAATTAAAAATGATGGAGCTGTTATTTTAGCAAAAATTTTAAAATTAAGTTCATCTCTGACTTCATTGAATCTCTGGAGTAATCAAATTGGAGATACAGGAGCAACAGCTTTGGCAAAGGCTCTAGAATCAAATTCCTCTCTGACTTTATTGAGTCTCTGGAGTAATCAAATTGGAGATACAGGAGCAACAGCTTTGGCAAAAGCTCTAGGATCAAATTCCTCTCTGACTTTATTGAGTCTCAGGAACAATCAAATTGGAGCTACAGGAGCAACAGCTTTGACAAAGGCTCTGGAATCAAAATTGGACTCCTCTCTGGATCTTAAATTTGATAATTAGGTTTTATTTGTCAGATGCTTTGTCCTATAGTGAAAGAAAAAAAGGACACTAAATTATTGATGATTGGGTATATTAATAACTGAACTATTTGTTTTAGTTACAGTTTAAGTTGCACCTTGATAGAGTCACTCTTAAAATATAACCACACATTAATAATATTGTTACGGTCGGCGTCCACAATAGGGTTGGGAGAGCAATTAATTGCGTAGGTGTGTTCTGCCGAGAGGGGGTTT